CAACTTTTGCCCTCGGGCGAGTGGGGCGCATAAACGCACTTGAGACAGGTCATGCCAATCAGCCTTCTGAAGTTGACTCACACGAAGTCCGCTCTGGCCCTTTTTGAAAATTCCCGCGCTGAGGAAAACCCGGAATTCCGCCCATCTGGTTGAACATCATGTCAAACCGAGAGGCAACTTCCTCTAATTCTTCCGTACACAATATTTTGTTCCTAACACTCTGGCTTTCCTAAGACTTCTCCCCTCACCTAAGGAACCGGGCCTGGAAGATCGCAGCTGTTAGGGTTAACCTTATTATCCTTAATAAAACTCGATAAACGCGTGTCCGTGACCTTAGCTGGCGCTTGATGCGCGCATCATGTCATAATGTCCCCGCACTACGGGCGGGCATACACAGCAACGCTAGCAGTTATTGAGAAGAGTAGCAGTTGTGTTGACCGACTACGCAATGCCATGCGCAAACTCCAGGTAACACCCATACGAGCGTCACCGGCCAATACTTTTATCCCTCTCTACCTCGAAACGTGCAAGTTCGTCGTAGTCTGGCGAAACGCTGTTCTCCGGCCGCTCCAAACTCCGTATTGTGGACCTTACAAAGCTGTTCGGCGATCTGACAAGGAGTTTATCATGGACCGCAACGGCAAGTCTGACACCGTTAGTAGTGACCGTGTCAAAACGGCTTACGTTGAAGACACGGAACCAACCTCAACAGCACACAGTCTCTAGCGGTGGACGAGAACAGCATCACCACTGGCCCGCCGCATAAAATCCGGCTGTCATGTTCACTGGCTCGACAGATTTGTGCCCTCACTCCGTTTGCCGTCTGGGAGGAAGTTGTTGAAGCTACTCTAATGCCCTCCTTCGCTGGCCTCCCGATGCCCTAGGCAAGCCGGCTAACTGACAGTGATCATCGCCAGGGTACAGTGGCTTCTACAGGGTTGGGCTAAGCTGCCTCATGGTCACGTGTGCACTTCAGACTAGCCACATTAGCCAGCCTGCTCGGCACCCAGATGACCTTGTTATCAGACCCTAGACTCGGCCTTTGATGCAACCAATCACGTGCCCTACAATCAGGCAATCACGCTCACACGAAGAGACACAAGCGATTAAACATTACGCCGATGCTTACACGCATCCACACTTTCGCATTACTCACAGACCACCCAACAGTCAGTCCACGGTATCTGGTTGCCTTCTTCCAACAGACAGAACATTCATAGTGTTTGTCGTTATAGTAGATCGCTCATCCTTGTCGACTACAAGTCCCCTTGCTATTTCCAGCAATACCATCTACTATGCACCCTGTTTTCGACGCGAATATAGTAGAAGAATCCGATAATAAATTGGGTGACTGGTTAA